AGGGAGAGACTCACTAGGACACCAACACATCAGGGAGTAAGGAATTTATGCCAGTGGGCACAGCTAGCTCTCTTAATGTAGAGCAACTGTGGACATGCTCCGGTTACTCCCTAAAAAATTTAACAGCTTTACAAGCCCAAAACCAAGCGCCACTGTACCAGACTGTGCCGTGTGTGTGTGACTGCTGATCTGCTAGCACACAGCACAGTCCAGGGGCCCTGTTCTAGGATGTATTCTAATGAGGATACATCGCAAAGTACAAAACTCAATGACTTTCTTTTTCTGTCTTTTTTGTTGTTGCGTCACCCTCTCTTCTACTTTGTAAATTTTACACTAATTTTTAAATAAGCACATTTTTAAATTATTTAACTAAAGATCTGATAAGTTAATATCAAGCTAAATTGTCACCTGTATCTCACAAGTGTCTCATTCTTCAAGTCAAATGCAAAGAATGACAGCAATTATCATCAACTTTTCCATTTACTTTGTAATCGTTTTTTGGGGGCGTGTTTCTTTTTAAAAATATATCTTTATTGATTTCAGAGACAGAGGAAGGGAGAGGGAGAGAGAGAGAGAGAAACATCAGTGATGAGAGAGTCACTGATTGGCTGCCTCCTGCACGCCCCCGACTAGGGATAGAGCCAGCAACCTGGGCATGTGCCCTGTGCCCAGGGAATTGAACTGTGATCTCCTGGGTCCTAGGTCGATGATCAACTGCTAAGCCACGCCCAGCCGGGCTGTAATTATGTTTTAATAAATAAGTTATTTCTATACATATGGCCTGTGGGTAATAAAGTAGATACTTTTATACACTTACTTTAATGCAATAAGAGATGCAATTATCTTCATAGTGTTTGCAACATCTATGCCTTGGTCCATGCTTACATCTGAAATTAAAGCAAAAACTTAATTATAATTAAAGTGTGTGTGTAGGTCTGATTAAACCTCTCCAATAAGAAAAGCAGAGAACATTACCTGCTTGCTTCTAAACCCGTGCATCTTTTGGTTTCTTAGGACATACCAAAGCAAAGATAACAGATTTTTTTCTTTGCTGCTCACCATTTGACACATTGTATAAAATACGTGACTGTAGTCAAAACACTTTAATGTGGAACAGAAAAACCACAGTGGTAAATATCTGTGACTAAATATTAAAAATATGTATATATATGTGTGTGTGTGTATATATGTACATATGTGTGTGTGTGTGTGTGTGTGTGTGTGTGTGTGTGTGTATATATATATCTGCACTCTGCCAAGTCTTTTGGAAGCTTTAAATCACTTGCTGTAGAGAAAAATGGCCATAAATCATCCATGGAGTCCATACTTGAGCAAAAATCCTAATGAGAGTCTGTTCAGGTTACAGAAATTTATACTTAATTATATTCGAGAGAAAACATCTGGAAAAGAAACATGATACAGTATTGGAATTCAAAATTCAGTTTTTAAAATAAATATAGATATAGATCATGGGAGAATTCAAAAGTAGGTTATGATTTAACTGTAAAGCACTTAGTCCTCAAGTGTTTAATAAACATTTCTGCTGGGAGGACTACTGTTCAAGACACACTTGTTATAATTATTTGGTGTGCAGACTCCAGCACCATTTATTTACTCTGGGCATAAAAAAGTAAGTAAAACATCTAACATGGGTTTAGCTGTCCCCTTTCTCTTTGAAGAGGAGTCTTTATAACTCTTTCAGACTGTGGTTAATTAATTAGCTTCATGGTTGGAACACATTAACTCTTTCCTGCTTATAACAATTACTTGTAGACTGATGTTCCAGCTCCACATCTCTCTAATTCCATTTGCAAGACCTTTCCCGAAATCCAATTCTGCACTGCAGCTGGAATACACAGGCAGACTTTTCTACTCAAAGGTGACAGCAATAGTTCATATCGACCACAGCTCTTATATCATTAGGATGATATAACATATCTGGTCATGTGAAGTTGCTGGGTGATTAAAGCTGGCGGCCCGAAAAGCCGTGAATCGGAGAACTGACTTATGTAAACCATCACTCTTCAAACACCTAAGTGCCCTGTCCAAAGACATTTATTTCTCAGTCATTGCTACCAGAACTACACAGAAATTATTAAACTCTCTTTGTTAGTGAAGTTAAACTGATACCAACTATACTGTCATTACTCTCCTTACATGCTCATTAAAATGGCTCCCTAAGTCCAGGACTGCCCATCTCCTGTATCACCTGCTTTGCTCCCGTACTATCCTGCATCTGCTTTCACCCCAGCGGACTCCCTGAGGCTACTTGACAAGTTCTGCCGTGGCCTGATCAGTTTTGATACCATGGCATCATTTACCCACAGAATACGTTCTCTGTATTCCCCTGTGGTTCTTACTGACATGACACCCATTAAAAGGGAACCCCTCCCCCTTCTCTCCACTAAGGTAAGGTAACCCATAACTATTCTGAACCTGCTCAATAAGATCACTACCACAATTATTCCTGCCATCTACTATTCCCGTCTTTCCTCTTAGCTTCTGTATGTGGTGTAAGCCAAAATGAAGAGAACGTCTTTAAATTCAGTAAAAATTTTGAGCACCTATACTCTGTGCTCATGTATGTGAAGCAAGTCCTATGTTATTTCATTTAACACACACAACACTCCTTAATAGAGATTATTAACCCTGGTTAACCAATGAGGACTTTGGGATATGAGTGGTTAAATCCAAGTCACAAAGCCAGCAGGGGCAAAATGAGAGTCAAACCCAGGTCTTCTGATTCCCTAAAGGGCCTCAGATTCCCACAGCTGACCCCTAACCTTCTATACTGCCTGCTCAGGCCATATGCTCTAAAGCCTCACTACCAAGATTATTCTAATCAGCTGACCTAACTTTAAGCCATTAAATTAATTTTCTTAAATAACTATACTTGAAATACAAATAAAGGCTGACTTGTATGAAATATAGAATTCTTTGTATAGTATACAAATAAAGATTTTACTTCCAAAGCCCTAAAAATTTCCACTCTTGCAAAATATCCTTTACTTAAGGTCTACTCATTATTCCTGCATCCTCTTGACTCTCCCTCAGAACTCATCTGTCTTCCTTCCACACCTGGCATATTCGATCAGCACGTATGAATCGTTCCTGAAGTTCCCCATTCTAACCTCCTGCAACTCTGCCTAGTTTGCAATAGAAAAGTGTTTCAATTTCATGTATACCTATTGTAAAGGCATAAGATGGTCAACAGTCCTGCCAGAAATAATAAATAATATTCACTTGCCATCATATGCCTTTTATAAAATTCTGCACAATTTCTGGTAAAGAATATATATATTATCATCTGAAAAACAAACACAAAAATATCTTGGCATTGTACAAATATCATATAAAACACGACAAAGTGTGACAAAGTATGAAGATACAGAACTCACATTGAATCCACAAGCTTCCTGACTAGAGCAATTATATTCATGCCTCCTGATTTCTCCTCCTGCTTCTCTGCCTTTTGTTCCACTTTTGCATACGCTGTCTCTGGTGAGTAAGAATGTGTGGGAATTTCTTCCTTCCCCACAATGAACCTAAAGAGAAAAGCACAATGTGCAGCATTTTTCACAGTTAAAAAAAAAAGTCAATGAGAAAAATAAACTGATTTTGTTATACATATAAAAAAAAAAAACTTTGGAAAGTACCTTATCATTTGAAATATTTTCTACAATTTATATAAAATCTAATCACCATTTAAAAAATAGTCCTTTGAAATCTAAATACTCAAAAATGTTAACAGTCATTTGTTTGACAGTGCAGGTTCTTAAAATTGTATTAACCAAGTAAAATATAGCACAGCACTTTTACAAAGCACCCTTTTAAATTAAGTCACCACTTTTAAAAGTATTATGAACTATTAACTTACATCTACTAGTTAGAGACAAAAATTCATTTTTTTCTCTAAAACCTATTAGTTACAATTGACTGTGTTTCTCATTTTTTTACTGGAAATTTATATCGAATGTCACTTTAAACAGCTGCAGTGCCACATAAGGTCATCTATAGGCACACGAAAAAATAGAGGAAACTAAAGAATGAGAATCAGAAAATGGTTACGATTCCATGTATCCTCACATCATTTCATGAGAAAATCTTAATTTCGACATTATTCCAATCTACTTATTCCCTTTCGGAAAAAACAAGTGAAGACACCATTCCTGTTTCATTAAAACTGGACAATATTTTTCCAAAGTCCCAATGCAAAAAAAAAAGTTACCACCATTAGATATCACTCAGTCAGTATCCTTTACTGAAGTTTTCATTTTTGCTGTGTACACCTTCATGTATAAGTCATTGCTCTTATAAACAACAACTAAGCTTTCTTAAGGGAACTCTACCTGATGAATTTTCAGAAAATATCATAAAATATAGATAAAATAGGGGATCAATAATACTCCACTATAATTCTGGAGCATGGGACCTTTGACAGATAAGGTAAGAAAATGTAAACACTTGTAAAAGACAGAAATAAAAAGTTGTTCCTATCAACAAGTGCAATCCATCCCGTCAGACAAACTTGGCAAAAAATCTAGCTTATCCAATCGTACGGTGTGTGCAATGAGATTGTCACCACAAAGCAACTGTGCATCCTTAGTAACTGTGAGTCCAAACGAATCTGGTTCTTAATCATGGGTGTGCATGGAGAGTTTAAGATCTGTACTACTGTTCTTTATAAACAAGACAAAATTATGCTAGAGTAGATACAATAATACCTCTCGCACATTTCATAAGACTGCTGATATTTTGTCCAGGACTGACCATCTTAGATTAGAAGTCACTTCCTTGGAGATGCTCCCCCTGACCCAAACTGGAGTTAACAATCCTTCCTTTGTGTTCTCATAGCCCAATGAACCCCAGTTCTGAAGCATCTTTACAGTAGGTTACATCCCCCCAAACGGTGAGGTCTTTTAGATTATGTTTATCTTCCTTGCTATTATATCCTGGTGCAAAACATACTGTCTGGCATATAGCAAATATTTAGTTAATGCACACTGATTGACTAAATAAAGTAATAACTAGAACTTTCTGAGCATTTACTACATGACAGGCACAGTACTGAGCCTGTTACAAATATTAAATCACTAAATCCTCATAGCAACACTATGAAGTAGGTACCATAATTTCCATGAGACTCAGCATGAAAAAGTATCATATCTACAGCCAATAATATCAGTATTTATTTCAACCTAGAACTGTGTGACTCTAAAGCCTGGGTTCTTAATGGCCAAACTATGACACTTTGATGTTTTAACTACGGTGAAGAAGGCTTGGTGTGCCTTCAGACTTCCACACGGCTCTTCCCCCAGGATTCCGTCCCTGACTCTATCTAGAATTAGTAATCATTTTTTCCCAGAATAATTTTCTACAATACAGAGAACAATTAAATAGACCAAATCTGCCTGTTGTTATATGAGGATTTGAAGAAGAGACACAAAAATATCTGATGCATTTTGAGTATTAGCAAGGATGCTGGGAGTCTAAGAAGAGAGGTAGGAAGAAACAAAGGCAAAGTTTTCCCTTTAGGAAAACCAACTTTTTTGGCTGTTACCAAATTTCAGTTTAACATAGAATCATTTATAGCCAATGCAACAACAAAAAGTTATTTTCTAAAAAGTTTCATGATCTTTTAATGAAAAATATAATATGAAGAACTTACTGCTGTATATTATGACTTAGTTATTGTTACCATAGTTTCCACAACCAAAGATATTCTTAACCACACAATGGACTCAATTTGTTCCCTCCCAAACCAGTTTCTTTGCATGTATTCTGATTTTCTATTAATAGCACCTTTTCCCAAGCACTTAGGTTTTCAATACTGGGCTGGTATTGAGGGGTGGAAGAAAAGAAAAAATGAAAAATATCAGTCATTAGGTCTTCATTATTTTCCACTACAAGTCTCAATTTTTCCTCTTTCTCGTTAACTATCTGTTTTCACCCAAATCCCAGTCCCTATCATTTTATCTTTGTTCCTTCTGATTTTCTCTTTTTTAATGTCCCAAATACTGTGGCCAGACTGATCTTTCTGAAACACTGTTAATTACCCTGCTCAAAAACATTCAGTGACTCCCTACTGCTCATCTTATCAAATCCAAGTCTGTCTTACATTCTTTTCTCGGTCTTCGGTAATCTGCCTATCATAAAATATATGTTTATATTTTCTAATATAAACTTTCCATACCAATTAAGGTGATTTTCCCATTTTCTCCTCACCTTTCTTGTTTTCATTTTCATGCTTTTGCTAACATTATTCACTTTCACCCATCTGCTCTACTTCCTCTCTTACAGTTATCTAAAACTATTCTTCAAGTAAAGTTTAAGACTTATCACCTACAAGAATGACAACGCACTTTCAGGCAATATGGTGTAGCAGGCAAACACTGTGCTCACCTCCTCCCATGAGTACATCAAAATTACAACTATTTCATAGAACAACCATCATTGAGAACCACCCGAAGACGAGCTGAACAGAAGCACTATAAAGATGTAAAGACGAAGCCATGACAGGCAGGTTGGAGGGGTAGCGATATGGAACAGTAGGTCCTACTCTCATGGTGTGGTGATTAAGGTTCAGGAGGAATAGCTCAGCAGCGGAGTACATCCCGAGGAATGAGGAGTCCTGGCCCCAGCCCAGAGCAACACTGCTAAGGAGAATTATCCCTGTAATATTTGGCTGTGAAAACCAGTAGGGATTGCATCTGAGTGAGACTAAGGGATGCTGGAGTCTCTTGAGGGGCATGCACAGACTCCCTCATCGTAGACTTGTGCACTCTTGGCTCCGGTGCAGGGGCAGCAGCTCAAAGAATACCAGGGACATACAGGGAAGAACTGAATTGACTGGCTTCATGGAAAGGACTGGATGGACAGGGGTCTGGGTGGCTCTCTCCAGAGACCAAATGCTGGCAGGTGCCATTTCTTTGTTGAGTGTGTACCCCACCCAACCAGCAGGTACAGGCAGGATCCAAACCTGAACTCTCCATTAACTTGGTGAACAACATTTGCCCTGCCCTGGTGATTCCCTGAGATTGCACCCTACCCAAATCTTGTACCTGACCCAAGCTGCTTCCAGAGGCTTTTCCACATAAACAGCCTACTTCAGCTCCATTGCAGACTCTCGTAAGATCTCTCAAAGGTTCACAAAACCCAAACAAGAAGTGGCTGGGTTTGGTGTGTCCTGCACCTTTTGCTAGGCAACCCCGAGCCCACCATAAGGGGTAACTGGTCTCGATATACCTTGGACTATACTAGAACCTCTTCCAAGAGCCTCCAGAATCAACAAACCTGGTGGCCAGCTTCAAAATTACACCAGAGCAGCACCCAACCAGGTCCATAAACAACATACCCAAAGGGCAGACTTGGCTGGCACCAGAAGCCCACTGACATCCCGGTAGAAATCAAGGCTCAACTACAGCAGAAGAACACACACAGTATACACAAGAGACACACAGGAACCGCCTGGCTGAGGTGAACAAGGATACTGCACCACTGAGCCTCACAGAAGGCCTACTACATAAGGCCACTCTGCCAAGACTGGGAGACATAGCAGCTCTACCTAATACATAGAAACAAATACAGGGAGTCATCCAAAATGTGGGCACAAAGAAACATGTCCCAAATTAAAGAACAGAACTGGAGAAAAGCTCCAGAAAAAGAACAAAACAAAATGGAGACAAGCAATATACCAGATGTAAAACACTGGTTATAATGCTCAAGGAACTTAGGGAGAAAATAGATGAGCTCAGCGAGAATATCAACAAATAGATAGGAAACATAAAAAAGAATCAGTCAGAAATGCAGAATACAATAAAATCAAGAATACATTAGAGGGAACCAGAAGCATATTAGATGAAGGAGATGATCAAATGAGCAATCTAGAAGATAAGGTAGCAAAAAACATTCCATAAGAACAGCACAAAGAAAAAAAATAAGGATACTTTAAGGGACCCTTGTGACAACATTAAGCATACCAACATTCACATCATAGGGGACCCAGAAGATGAAAAGAGAGAGCAAGGGATGGAAACCCTTTTTGAAGAAATAATGACTGAAAACTTCCCTGACGTGGCAGTAGAAATGGACATACAAATCCAGAAAGCACAGAGAGTCACAAATATGATGAACCCAAAGAGGCCCATACCAAGACACATCATAATTAAAATACCAAAAGTTAACAACAAAGAGAGGCTCTTAAAAGTAGCAAGAGAAAAGTAAGTAGTTATGTATAAGACAGCTCCCACAGGACTGTGAACTGATTTCTCAACAGAATCTCTGCAGGCCAGACGACATTGGCAGGAAATAGTCAAAGTAATAAAAAGCAATGACCAACAAACCAAGATTACTACACTTAGCAAGACTATCATTTAGAATCGAAGGAGAGATAAAGAGCTTCCCAGACAAGAAAAAGCTAATGGAGTTCATCACCACTAAACCAGTAGTACAGAAAAATGTTAAGGGTACTTCTTTAAGCAGAAAAGATCAAAACTATGAGTAAGAAAATATAAGAAAAAAATTCTCACAAGGCTAAACAGTAAAAGCAGTGGATCAACTAACTATAAACCTAGTACAAAGGTTAAAAGGCAAAAGTAGAAAGATGTTGTATAATTACAACAATAAGTAAAAACAATGACAAAAATATAAACGTGGAGGGAGTAAGTAAAGACTGTAGTGATTTTAGAATGTGTTCAAACTTAAGTGTTATCAACTTAAAGTAGCCAGCTATCAATATAGTTTGGTATATATGAAGCACATGGTAACCACAAATGAAAACTCTACACGAAATAAAGAGAACAGAATCCAAATATGACAGTAAAGAAAGTCAACAACATACAAGAGAAGAAAGCAAAAGAATAAGAAAGGAACAAAGAAATACAAAAACAATCATAAAATAATACCTATCAATAATCACTTTAAATGTAAATGGCTAATAGCCAAAGTAATCTTGAGAAAGAACAAACTTGGAGGTATGCTACCTGATATCAAACTATACTACAAGGTTATAGTAATCAAAAGAGCATGACTGGCATAAACACAGACACACAGATGAATGAAACAGAATAGAGGACTCAAAAATAAACCAAAGTCTCTACGGTCAATTAATCTATGATAAAGGAGGCAAGAATATACAATGGAGGGAAAGACAGTATCTTCAATAATGGATGTTAGGAAAGCTGGACAGAAACATGCAAAAAAAAGAAAGAAAAAAGAAACTGGATCACTTTCTTACACCACATACAAGAATAAACTCAAAATGGATTAAATAATTAAATTAAAGACCCAAAACCATAAAACTCCTAGAAAAACACATAGGCAGTAGGCTCTTTGACATCACTCTTAGTAATATTTTTTTGTATATATCTCCTCAGGCAAGGAAACCAAAAGGCAAAAAAGAAACAAATGGCACTACATCAAACTAAAGAGTTTTTGTACAGGGAAGGAAACCATCAACAAAACGAAAAGACAGCCTGGCCGGCATGGCCCAGTGGCTGAGCATCGACCTATGATCCAGGAGGTCGTGATTCGATTCCCAGTCAAGGCACATGCTCGATCCCGTGTGGGGTATGCAACAGGCAGCCAACCAATGACTCATCATTGATGTTTCTCTCTCTCTCTCTTCCTCTCCCTTCTTCTCTCTGAAATCAATATATTTATATTAAAAAAACAAAAACAAAAGACAATCTATTGAATGGGAGAAGATATTTGCCAATAATACACCCAACACGTGGCTAATATCCAAAATATATAAGGAACTCATACAACTTGACACCAAAAATAAAACCTGATTTAAAAATGGGCAGAAGACCTGAATAGACATTTCTCCAAATAGGAGATATAATTGTCCAAAAGATATATAAAAAGATGGTCAATGTCACTAATCATCAGAGAAATGCAAATTAAAATCACAATGAGATATCATTTCACACTTGTCAGAATGGCGACCATCAACAAACCAACAAACAAGTGCTGGTGAGGATGTGGAGAAAAGGGAACCCTCATGCACTGTTGGTGGGATTGCAAATTGGTGCAGCCACCACGCAAAACAGTACAGAGGGTCCTCAAAAAATTAAAAGTAGAACTACCATATGACTCAGTAAATCCACTTCCCGGGATTTACCTGAAGAAATCCAAAACACTAATTTAAAAAATTATATGCACCCCTATGTTCACTGCAGCATTATTTACAATAGCCAAGATATTGAAGCAACCTAAGTGCACATTGACAGACAAATGGACAAAGATGTAGTGTGTGTGTGTGTGTGTACACACACACACACACACACACACACACACACACACACGATGTCCCCAAAAATGTATACACAATTTAACAGCTGATAGCTCAATTTTGAAAATGAAATGTATTTTAATAAACACTGCCTTTATAATTGTTCAAAGTGTGTGTATACATTTTTGGGACACCCTATATACAATAAATATTACTCAGCCAAAAATATATATACGTATTACTCAGCCATTTAAAAAAAAGAAATCTTGCCATGTGCGACAACATGGATGGACCTGGAGGGTATTATGCTAAGTGAAATCAGTGAGACAGAGAAAGACAAGTACCATATGATTTCACTTACATGTAAAATCTAAAAAATGAGTAAACATAACAAACAAATTCGTAGATAATGAGAACAAACTGACAATTGCCAGATGGGAGGGGAATTGGGGGATGGGTGAGAAAGGTGAAGGGATCAACATGTGCATATTGCCAGTTATACAAATAGTCACCAGGAGGTAGAGTACACCATAGGAATATAGTCAATAATGTTGTAATAACTATGTATGGTGTCAGATGAGTATTAGACTTAGTTAGGTGATCACATCGTAAGTTATATAAGTATCTAAATCATTACGTTGTACATCTGAAACTAATATATGTCAACTGTAATTGATAAATTTTTTAAAAATTTAAATAATAGCAGCCAATGTTTTGACACGATGTGCCATGCACAGAATTCTAAATACACTTCATACATTAACTCATTTGACCCTCAAAATAACCTTATGAGACAATCATATAAAGGCTTCTCCTAGTACTGAGGCCCACCCCTCTGTTTCCCTCCAATAGCAGTAAATACCACACTAGTAATCTTCACTAAACATTTCCTATACGTACTTTGGAGAAGAAAATAGGCAACATTTATGACATAAATTGGAAGAGCACTGGGTTTGGAGTCAGTATATATAGTCATTGTGTAATGTTAAATTAAATTAGTCAAACATTCTAAGCCTCAGATTTTCATCATGTCACATGGGCATAAAAACCCACCTCACAAAATGTTTGTGAAAATTTAGTTTCCTAATCTATAGGAAAGTGTTTGTGAACTATAAAATACAATGCTAATATTAACCGACATTTCCACAGTATCTACCATGTGCCAATGACTGGTAAGAGATGGGCTATGAGGTATTTGACAAAGCATGAATCCTGCCCTAAAGAAGCCCATAATCTGGGACCACACCATTAAGTACTTAATATTCCAAAAATTGTTCATGTGTAGCTTTGTCTGTTTAAGCCACCTGAGGAGAGAGTTCTGGTACTTATTTTCTAATACCCTATGGTATAAGGAACATAATAGGTCCCAAAGTAGATGCTAATTGATTATTTAGGAAGGAAAAAATCCAATAAATATTCTGTTAATGAAATATTCACAAAGTCACTTTTGTGACTTCTAAAATTACTTTCAACTCAAAAACTTAGTCAATAAATATTATAATTATATATAATGATATTACTTTATAAAAGAAGTTAACTCGTAAATTCTCTTGACATAAAGTAAATAAAATATGCTACTCACCTAAGTGCTGAGAATGTAAATCCTTTCAAACCATCTTTGGACCTAAAACAATAAAAATTTACAATGATTAAATAACATGTTTTGAGATATAAAGTAGTATATTAAATAGCTATTAAAATTTTTTTGAAAAATGATTATTGTTTAAAGGTGAAACTCTTTTAGGACAACAATCAGAGCAGCACGAATGGTCAAACAAACAACAGTGAAGCAAGCCATCTTACACAAAATCATTAAAATGATAATGTTTTCCTACGTCATATTGATATAACTTGAGGCTCAACTCTCAGAGTTGCAGGTTGAAGAGGGATTTAAATAAATCTTCTAAGGCCTCCATGTGGACTTGAAAGGAAGGCTGGGAGTGGAGCACTCTTCATTCTACCCAATCCATGGGGGGGCAATTTGTTTTGAAGTAAAAGGACACATACACCTGCTGGGTATTATGTATAGGTCAATTCAAGGTCCTGACTTCTCCCTACTTATTAATTCAATGAATGCAGAGCAATGTAGAGTTGGCAGGCACAAAAAAGCATCAAGTTTAGTTCAACAGTTTTAACTTCTGAGGAAGCCAATCAGATAACATAGCAAGGGGAACAGGATAGGGGTGGGAGGAGAGCTCAGGGAAAGGATTCCAAATAATATTTACTGAGTGCTTCCTGTTGCTGGGCATTGTTTGGGACCTTTTATATGTGTTGCCCTCATTTAATTATATCACAACTCTATGAATAGTTCTTTCTCTATTCCACAGCTGTGCAGAAGTGTCCCCAAAATGCAGCAACTTCCCAGATGTAACAAAATAAAGAGTAGTCAGAATTCGGGGGGGAAAAAATGTTCATCTAACTTAAAAGTCACAGTTTTCTCTTAGACCTTCCTGAAAAACTGTATTCCTTTTAATTAGGGAAGATTCAGACTACTGACAATTGAGAGAGAAAAAAGACTGTCAGATCTGCAAAAACTATTTTAACGAAATTTAAAAATTAGGACATTATTATACTGGTCTTAATGGTCCGCTTTATAGGTATGAGTAAGCTACTCAAGAATCTTTGGGTATCTAGTATCAAAATCCCTTGCAGAAACTATAAAGATTGGTGATATAATGATGTTGTAATGTATGTTAATACGACCCTGTCTATTCTTAGATAAAAAGTACAACCTCAAGTCTAATTGGGCAAATCTCTCTGTATATCTTTAACATAACGGCACAAAGAAAATGCACAAAAATACAAGAAATCTCTCTTACAAATTTGGATATGTATATTTTATTGAAGGACATATAAAATCCAGAAAAGAATTTAATCCGTGTGCACAGAGAAGTTTTAAAACATTTAAGAATTCATTTCAATTAAGCAACATGATCTACTTTGTGGTCGTCTTAACAGTGAGAAATGTAACCACAGAATTTAGCTAATACGCTACATAATTACCTACAGAATGAGCGTAAAGGCAAAAGAATTCATGTTAAGTTAAAAATGTGCATGGGAAAACTATAGTATTAAAAATCTTAAAGTTATCTTTTTCCATCTGAAGCAAGTGTTTCTCAGTAATTTAAAACCCATAATTAAGTAATTTCTAGATAGGTGTGGTGGTGAGAGGCTAGGCTAGTAGTCTATTGACTGGAAAACAGAAAGCAGCAGATTGATTAAAAGATTATATACAACTGGGAACAAATTTTGGCTTTAGTGTGCTATTGTTAAAAGACAGCCATTTATCTTTGTGCAACGCTGAATAGATAAAGGGTTCTGACAACTTGGTCTAGTCAGGATTGCATATTGTGACCTTCAACAATAAATCTAATTGCAGACCAAACATCAAAAAGTAGCTTTCAAATATAAAAGGGCATATACGAATGAATTTGCAATTTCATTATGATGCAAGTTTGGTTCTTTCAGCAGAACCCTGTGGGAAGCACTTCATATTGATAAAGTCTTAGCCCTGGTTCAAAAGGGGCTTTTCTTCTTTCTATTCATGTGTGTAAGGTCTGTTAATGTAATTGAGGGTCAGATGCCTATGTCAAAAGAACAAAAAAGCAATTATTCCCATAAAAAGAATCTTTAAAATAGTAATACTGCCCTGTACTTTGACACCAAGAGTATTGTTTGAGCCTTACCCTAACTATGCAACACTATTATTCTCCGTGTTAAATGTAAAAAGTATGATATAAACATCAAGATTTATACAAAGCAGACCTCATTAGAAGGTCCCTCACTATCCCATGGATTTGGTGATTATAATGTAAATTAAATCACATTCTCCATTCAGGTCTTGAGGCTCACTGATTTATTCAACAAATATTGACCAAGTGCCTACTATGTGTAAGCACTGGTTTAGGTTCGAAGGATGTAACAGTTAACAACATAATCCCTGCTTTCAAAAGGCTGACAATCTAGGTAGGGGAGAGATATAATTTAAAAAGTAAATGTGTCATGTGATGATCATGGCTATGGCGAAAAGAAAAGCAGAATCAGGGGAGAAACAGTGATGGAGCCAGGCCTTATCTTCCTATATAGTGTGATCAGGAGGGACCTCTCTGAGAAGGTGAAATTTGGTAATTTGATCAGGAACCTTACTGATGAGGAGAAAGCATTTCAGTTTGAAGGAAGAGCAAGTACATAGCCCCTGAAGAGGAGTCTGCATGGCAGGTAGAACAGTAGGTCACTGCAGCTGGAGCAGAAGAGGGGAGGGAGACAGCTGTAGGAAGTGAGGTCATAGGAATAGCTTTGGAGGGAGACCGTCGTCTACAATTTTTATAGGGCCCTTTGGGCACGTTATAAACTTTGGAAGGTTCTCAGCAGAGGAGTGACAAGATGTGTTTTAAATTTTAAGATAATCACTTTGGCTTCTGGCTGGGAAATAAGACTACAGGAGGGCACTGTTAGAAGCAAGGAGGTGAATTCCCAGGAAAAAGATGCCTGTGGCTTGACTAGATCACCGTGGCAGAGGTGGAGAGAAGTGGTAAGATTCTGAATGTATTTCCAAAACAGGATTGGGGAAAATTCTTGATGGTTTCAATGTGGGGTATGAGCAAAAGAGAAAATTTACAAATTATTGAAATAATTTTAGTTTGCACAAATGGAAAGATAAAATGTCCATTTGCTGAAGTGAGAAAGACTATGGGAGAAACAGGTTTCAGGAGAAAATCAAAGTTTTGTTTTGGACATGTTAAGTTTGAGGTGCACATTAGCTATAAAGGGAAACGTTAAGGAAGCAATCAGCCGGTTATAAAGGTTTGTGTTAAAAAGCGAAGTCTGATTCATATATAAGTTAATACTTAAACCCATGGGACTAGACATAATCATCTAGGCAATAAGTGTCCATAGAGAAAATATCCAAGAACCGAGTATATTTTAGTTCTCCATAATTTTTAGTGCAGAAAATCTCTTCTATGGGAGAAAAAATAAACTTCTCCTCCTAACAAAAGCACTCTCATTTTTATTTTTGAGTGTACATAAGGATAAAGCATTTAATTCACGCATACATAGACTTTTCTATTAATGTTAGTCTATGCAAATGACAAACAAGGAGTATTACTCAATCCATAGTTACTGAATCTCTCTACATTTTCAAAGTTCTCTGCTATGAATGGCATAAAAACAAAGCCAGAAGAGGAAATGAGGAAAAAGAACTTGTAGCATTATATAAAAAAAAACTTAGTTGATTCACAGCTAATCATAGAGGTTAGAGCTGGAATTGAAACTTATGTACAAGAAAGTATAAAGTTTAATACTATTGTCATTATAATAATATTCTTGGCAAAATGACACAAAGATAAAATAATTTTTTTCAGTGAGAAGTGTTGCAAATGATAGTAAAAGAAACAATTTTGCCCCAGAAGATTCTTTTCTCATGCTTAATTTCCATGAAATTACTTCCATAAGGTACTTTTAGCTTTACAACACTGTACCAGCAGATGTCGCTAGTAAACCATTTTTGGAAGAATTTGTAGCTCTTTGATGTGATTTTCATATAAAATATTTTGTTGTTTTCCCTTAAAAACATATAGGTATTCAAAATGTTGCTAATCTTAGTTAAATTGCATTAAGTTCTTCCAAGTAAATATGTAATATTAAACTTTAAACAATGTGTGATTTCTAGTCTATAGGGGAGCAGAATTTGCCACACCAAAACATGCTTTTTTGGTATACTATTTGTTTTAATTGAGGTAACACTGGTTAATAACATTATATAAATGTCATGTATACAACATTATAACTCGATATCTGTAAACTCTATGTGTGCTTACCACCAAAAGTCTAGTTTCTTTCCATTACCATATAATTGACCCCTATCCAATTCACCCTCCCCAACCCCCACTCCCTTCCCCTCTGAAAACCACCATTCTGTTGTCCCTATCTATGAGTTTGTTTTTGCTTTGTTTTGTTTGCTTGTTTGTTTTCTGTTTTATATTCCACATGAGTGAAATCATACAGCTATAGAAAGTGGTCAAAAGGATATGCCTCAAACAGTTTTTAGTAGGCTACCTATTAAGCATGGGAAGATATAACATTTTACTCTATATTTATATATCATTTTGAATTTTTTACAAGTATACATTTATATATTATTTGTGCAGTTTGTTTAATTCAAAACACCAATACCTGAACATTTAAGGACAGATAAAACAGTATAAAAGGTATCCATCTCCATTTCACCAACATGATGGCAGAGAACATAAATCTCAAACTAGTCAATTTTACTCATTAATACTGATGTAGAAGTTATGCTAGAAGGCATAAAATTACTAACTAAAATAAATGGTTTAGACTAGAATTTTCTGAAACCATGATCCCAATAAACGTGGATAATCAGGTTATTATAACGATAAAAACATTCATCAAGTATCAATTTCAGAATTCTTTTGTCCCATTTTTACTCAATGAATTGATTAGAAGGAAACTCAAATATTGGTTAAATATTACAGCATCTATTTTCTTCACTCAACAATCATTTATGAGAACCTAATACACAGATGGTGCTGTGCTGCGGATCGCTAGAGGAATGCAAAGATAAGCTATATACCGTATCTGACATGAAAAAAGGTGTCTGTA